CCTCCCTCCCTCCCTCCCTCCATGTGTGTGTGTGTGTGTGTGTGTGTGTGTATGTGTGTGTGTATGTGGGGGCTGTATGCCTCAAGCCCATCTTTGGTTCTTTCTATAACTTTTAATTAATTAATTAATTAATTAATTAATTAATTAATTAATGAGAAAGGGTCTCATATTCCAGACTGGCCTTGATATATAGCTAAGGATGACTATTGATGAAATTATTAAGGCCACTCCACGTAGTTAAAAGATTTATTTAATGGCGTAACTTACAAATGAAGGAATAGGCAGGTTGAGGGTTCTGGGAAAGACGCAGCAGTAGTTCGGTGATGTTCTCTGGAGAACTCTGCTCTGTCCACCTCTAGCATCCAGGCTCCCAGGAGCAAGAGAGCGTGGCACATCCTGATCTCGGGTCTTCAGGCCCTCCCTTGGCCCCGCCTTGTGGGCGTGATAGTTACTAAAACCTCAATGGGGGTTGGAACTTCCAGACCAAAGCTGGAATGGCTACCCACTACAGATGACTTTAAACACCTGGTCCTAGACTGGGCATGGTGACACATGTCTTTAATCCTAGCACTCGGGAGGCAGAGGAAGGCAGATCTCTTGAGTTTGAGGCCAGCCTGGTTAATAGTGAGTTCTAGGACAGCCAGAGCTATATAGTGAAACCCTGTCTCAAAAGAAACACCATCCAAAACTCTTGATCTTCTTGCTTCCAACTCAAGCGCTGGGATTACAGGGTTGTGCCCCGTGTCCAGATTCTGTGGTGCTGATTCCTTCTGCCAACTGGAGTACGTTCCCAGCCTTCTCTGTGACTGAGACGCTGTTCTTCCGGTTTCTTTCACTTCTTTGTCCATGATTTCCTTTATTTCTTCAAGGACATGATGAGTAGTTGATTTTAAGGTTTTCTTTGGTAAACCCAGAGCCCATCCTGTGCTTCCTCAGGTACTTTTATTGGTGTGAATGCAATGTTTTACTAGTTCTTCATATGTTTCACTGAAAACAGGAAAACGGGATTACTTCTTTTTTTGTTGTTGTTGTTCTTTTTTTTTTTTTTTTTTTTTTTGAGACAGGTTTTCTCTGTGTAGCCGTGGCTGTCCTGGATCTTGCTCTGTAGACCAGGATGGCCTCCAAGATCCGGCTGGCCTCCAAGATCCACCTGCCTCTGCCTCCTGAGTGCTGGGATTAAAGGCCTGTGCCACCACCGCCGGTCTCAGGCAAGACACTGTACACATAAAACAAAAGCAAAGGTTTTGACAAAGGACATCCTTCCCGGTTTTTCTTTTGGTGTGTCAATTCTTTGTCTCAGCTATGATCTCCCCCCCCCAGGTGGTCATGGCTGCTTCCCTTAGCTTACAATATATTCCTTCATTTGTTTAGATTTATTTATTTATTATGTACACAGTGTTCTGTCTGCATGTTTGCCCGCACACCAGAATAGGGCATCAGATCTCCTTATAGATGGTTGTGAGCCACCAGGTGGGTACTGGGAATTGAACTCAGGACCTCTGGAAGGGCAGCCAGTGCTCTTAACCTGGAGCCATCTCTCCAGCCTGCATACAATGTTTTCTAAGAACACCCATCTCCAGCTGTTCTCCTTCCCTGAAAAGACTGAGTTAGGTAAGACAAAAGCAGTCACCCAGCTGTCTGTAATGCCAGCACCTGGGAGGAGAAGGCAGGAGGATCAGGAATTTTAGGTCATCTTCATCTACACAGTGAGCTAAAGGCAGGCTTGGACTACATTGAGAGATCCTGTCTCAATGAAAGAAAACGTAACTAGGCAGCCTGAAGGCAGAGGCTGGCAGACCTCTGTGAGTTCGAGGCCAGCCTGGTCTGTCTAGCAAGTTCCAAGCAACCAGAGCTACACAGTGAGACCTTGTCTCGAAAAGCAAACTATTCTCTCTGCGTGCCAGCCCCGCCTAGCCTTTCTCCTGCCTTGCTATTGGTCATTTAGCTCTTTATTAGACCATCAGGTGTTTTAGACAGGCAAAGTAACACAGCTTCACAGGGTCAAATAAATGCAACATAAAAGAATGCAACATCTTTGCATCATTAAACAAATGTTTCACAGCATAAACAAATGTAATACGTCTTAAACTAATATTCCATAACAATCTTCACCTTTCTGTTTCTTTCTCCTGCGTTAGGAGGTTTTTGCTGCAGACTTCTAGAGCTCTGACGTATTGATTCTTAGTTTTCTATGCAGAGCTGGGCAGAAAGACTGTAGAGGATTCCCACGCTGCCCTTTACAGTGTCATACCATCAGCTCTGTTCTAAACATTAAGTGTTGACAAGAGGAGGAACATTGAAATCAGAGATCCAGCTATCATGCTCCACCTTGAGACCCCAACATGAGCAATGCATGGCACACAGCAGGCATCCCCAAACTGTCTGTTGAGTGAACGCAGATTTTTCAATAGCTCCTTGAAATATTTTTTCAGATTTATTTTTATTTTATACCTATGAGTGTTTTGCATGCCTGGTATCCATGGAGGCCAGAAAAGAGCTTCAGATCCCCTGGAACTTGAGTTAGAAAAGTTTTGAACCGCTGTGTAGGAACCAAATCCAGATCCTCTGCAAGGGCAGCAAGTGCTCTTACCTACTGAGCCGTCCTTCCAGCCAGCCACCCCACTTTCCTTTTGAGACCAGAGTCTCACTATGTAGCCGTGGCTGGCCGGGAACTTACAGGTGAATGTGAGCTGCCCTGGGAGTGCTTGGAACTGAACCCAGGTTCTCTGCAAGAGCAACAAGTCCTCTTGATGGCTGAGCCATCTCTCCAGCCCTATTATTTTTAATATTAGATACTAAGATACATTTAGTTATAGGTGTATTTATCCACACATACAATAATTTAATATTGTAATAAAATATACACAAAAATTATTACTGTTACATATTTTTAATTATGTGTATTGTGGGGGGGGGGTTGTAGGTGAGGGGCCACAGAGAGCAAAGGTGTCAGATCCCTTATAACTGAAATTACAGTTGTGAGGTGCCTGATGTGCGTGCTGGGAATCAAATTCAGGACCTCAGGAAGAGCAGTACATGCACTTAAACCCCTGAGCCATCTCTCTAGTCATACTCCCCCCACCCCTTTTTGAGACAGGATCTTGCTATGTAGCTCAGGCTTGGCTCTGAACTTGTGCAACCCTCCTGCCTCAACCTCCAGAATGCTAAGCCTAAAGGCACACACCAACTCACCCAAAACATTGCTTTCACCATTTTAAGTGTACCATCCAGCAGTATTAAGGGTATTCACTTGCTGGTGATTATAGACAGTTATTTCCACCACCCATGTTCAAGATATTTCACTGTACAAAACTAAAACTTCTGTTTCTTCTTTATTTTATTTTGAGACAAGGCCTTGGCATATTGCCTTGGCTGGCCTGGAACTTGCTATGTAGACCAGACTGGCCTCAAAAACACAGACATTCACCTGCCTTTGCCTCTGCCTGGCAAACACATAACTTTGAATCCATTAAACAATAATTCTCTATCTTCTGCTCTCTCCAGTCCCTGGCAGCTATCATTTTCTGTCTCTGAGCTGATCTGCATCTCACGACACTGAGATAATATGCTGTTTTATTGTGCAAGACATGTTGGACATACGTGCAATTGTCTATTATCTTCTGCATCTCATAAAGGTGGAATCATATGCTGTTTTCTAGTGCATCTCACTAGGTTGAATCACTTGTCTTCTGTGTCTCTTATGGGAGGAATCATTCTCTATTGTTTTGTGCATCTTATGTCACTGGAATCATATGCTGTTTTCTTTTCTATTGCTTACACGTACAGTCATTTCCTACTGTCTTTGTGACTCATGGAGGTGGAATCATCTGCTGTTTTCTCGTGCATCTCCTTTTGTTGCAGTCACATACTATTGCCTTGTGTATTTCATACAGGTGGAACCATACACTATCATCTTATGCAGTTCATGTCCATAGAATCATAGGCTGTTGTATTGTGAACCTCATAGAGGTGGAATCATTACATGTTATCTTTTGCATTTCATATCGGTGGACTAATTCAACATTTTCTGGTGCATCTCATTTTGCTAGAATATGCTATTGTCTTATTTACCTCATATAGGTGGGATGACATGCTATTTTCTTGTGCATCTCAGTTAGCTGGAATCAGTTAGCTGGGAAGGGGCAGCCACTTGGGCAAGATGGTGGCATGTGTGCTAGTCTGGGGCTCCGAGCCAGGATTTGAGGTCGGTTAGCTGGAGGTGGGTGATACCATTTGGTCAATTGACTCTTCTTCTTAGGACATGTTCTCGATTCATCCTTTTTCTTCAGATGTTTCATTTGTCCAGTGGTCTCTGGATTCTTTAGTTGGATGCTTTTATTTTCCTGGAAAGATAAAAGCAAAACTTTGTCCCAACCCTAACTCTGGAGGGTTCCTTTTATGACAGGTTATATTTTTCCTATGGCAAAATGTTTTTTGGCAACAGAAAAGTATTATCTTTCAATTAAAAAAATATTTTGAAAATTTGAAACTAAAAATACCTTAGTATGGTTAGACAAATACACCTATAACTAAATGTCCCTTAGTATGTGTGGATAAGTGCAGCTATAACTAAATGTATCTTAGTATGTGTGGATAAATACACCTATAACTAAATGTCTCTCAGTATTTGTGGATAAATACACCTATAACTAAATGACCCTCAGTATATGTGGATAAATACACCTATAACTAAATGTCCCTTAGTATGTGTGGATAAATACACCTATAACTAAATGTCCCT